AGGGAAACGCCCCAAAGAGACCGGAGTCCCCCGGAAGAGAGGCGCGGCGGGCCCTGCCCGCGCCGGCGTCCACGAAGGGCTCGTCGGACCGCTCTGCCGCGTCGCCGAGGTCTTCCCGCGAAGCCGCGTTGTGCGCAACCCCGTTGCCGCTGCGGGCGCGGAGGAGGCCCCTGGCGACGGCAAACGCAGGAATCTCGGCGTTGCCCCTGCGCGACCCCTCGCGCGCGTTCCCCGGGGAGAGGGCGATGCGGCCGCCGCAAACCCCGCCGTGGTTGCCGCGGAGGAACGCCACCCACCAGCGCACGACAGAGTCTGTGTTTGGCATTTGTCTCATGATGAATGCGTTCAGGTTGTCTTGTACTTCTGCGTTTTTGCCGGTGTTGATACGATTATAACTTTTTAGCGATTGTAATTGTTTTTGTTTTAAATGATGTATGTTCTGAATGTGCCTTTTTCTTTCGTGTTAAAAACTTTTACTTAATACTTATATATATATATATTGGAATAAGCTTCTTTGTGTTTATTTGGTTTGTTTTCTTTTTATTGAAGAAGTAGTAAGTATGAGAAGGGAGCAAATATGAGGATGCCCGCACCCGTGACGCGGCATTGGACGGCGCTGTCGCTTTTGGTGCGACAAGCATACCGTTCTTTCGTTTTCTATGACGCCAAGACGGCGAGTGATGTAATTGCCGCTCTAGGAGATCTTCACGAGCCTCCGTTGAGTCTACACGCCCTTGTGCTTTGTGTATTAACCACGTTGCCGAATTTTTCTTCTGGAGACCATGTGGCCCGCCTCTTCCAGGGGCTGTCTCTACTCCGTGTGCGCCACACAATGCTCACTGCTCATTTTTTGAAGCATTATCTCCGTTGCTGCTTTGTTAACGGCTGCATGGCCACACCTCGCGTGGCTGTGCCAGTGGGCATGGAATATTCCGTAATAGACCCGTTGCGGTTTTTATCCTCATTTGCCGTGATTCTTCACACCCTTGAGCGTTTTCACCCAACCGAAATTGTTAATGCCCTTTTTGATTCCTTGGAAGAGATGCTAGGCGCGGATTTTGGACCATCTTTATTTTTCCATTACAGATATTCTCACAAGAGCTGTGAACCAGACGAGGCAAATATAGAACCCTCTTCTGAGAACGCGGAGGAAGTTGCAGAGGAAATTTTTTTTGTGCTGCAGCGTTTTCTTATTATTTACCGCCGGCACCCTTACGGTTCTCGGTACAAACGCACTGGAAAACTCTTGGCTTTCTATGCAGATCACTTGCACTTCCATCATTTGGTGTGTCTGCTGTGTCTTATGGAAGAAGCGGATACGAAGTGTCATAAATGGACAGCTCATTTTTCGAAAGAGCAAGAGCTTTCTGACCTCCAGCGACAGTTGCTGTGTTATCTGGTGTATCGCTTTCGTCCCGAGGCGCTTCGTCCCGGAGTACTTTCAAAAGTTGAAATCGTGGCGTTACTTAGACATGTGAACTACTATAATCTCAGTGGACTTCCGCCTGACGTGAGAAGTGGAATTTACTCCATTGCAGATGCCTTATGTTTTATTCTCGAAAAGGCCCCATTGACGTTAAATGCTACTCGTTTTCTGGTAGTGAACGATTTATTATCACAGGATGAGGAACCACAACATATGGAAAAGGAGATTTCAACAGAAGCTTGGCAACTGCGGCAAAAACCCCGCCTGAAGCATTTTCTAGATGGACTGCAGCAGTTAATTCTTGATAGGGGGAGTAGATTTGTTTGTAAGGAGGATCTTTGGTTGTATACAGAGGTTTTGCTTATTTTGTGTTATCGTCTACTTCTTTCTCATGCGGCGGATGAGAAATCGGTAGCAACCCCACAACTCCTTCGGACCTGTCAGCTCACGTGTGACGCACTTGGAAGGTTGGAAAGACACGGTGAATCTGGGAATGCATCCGTTGAGTTTCGCATCCTTCTTTCCAGTCAGCCTGTGAGGTTGCTATTGCAACAACGCGCGTCTCTGTTGGGAAGTGGGTTGGTTTTGGCACTCTCAGAGGTGATAACACGGTACGGAATTCAGACGGCGCTTCGCTTGGCCATGAGACATGCCGCCAATGACATGGATCTTCAGTGTCTATGTTTTTTGCTACAGGAGCGACATCCGACGGTGGAGCTTCTGGCACGAATTGATAGTGCCATAACTATGATTTGTGGTCAGAAGTGTTCCACACAATACACAGTAAAACACATTGCGGAAGCACTTAGCATGCTCGGCTCGAGGAATTGGGTGACACTTTGTGGCGGCAATGAAAGATGGATAACACTTGCAACATCTGTGCGACTCTCTGTGGCGGTGAATTCACTTGTTTTTTATATAAGGAAGACTGAACAGGATGCGACACGGCAGCAAGCATTAGCACAGCTACTGAAACTTTTGACTGTGTTATCTCCCGTAGAGTTGCACAGTGATTCAGACAAGCGGTGTCGGTGTCTCACGGCACGCATCCCTGGCTCAAACGCGGTTAAGCTCCTCATTGAGTCTGTGCTTCGAGTTTGTATTGATTGCACCCCAAAATTTGCATTCTTTAGAGATCACGGGGACGATTGCAGCTTCCCCGCACTGAATACATCGGACTTTGCCGAGCGTTGTTTCCTGCGGAGTCGTTCTTCCAAGTTGTGGAAGGCGGCCGAGGCTTTTTCAGACGACGTATGGTTTTCAGAGGATGCAGCTCATTGCGAAAAAGATATGTATTCTTTTCACAGCAAGCAACAAAGCACACGGAACGTGGTGGAATTTGCTCTCTGGATGGGTGCTTTTCGGTTTGCAGCCGAGCGTAAAGGTGGAAATGAGCGAGAACTTTTTCTTTCAAGCATGAGGATGGAAGAGCTACGACGAATGCATACGGAGATTCTTCGGAGTGCCAGTTATCTTGTGCTACGGGATAACTCCTGGAGATGTTCGACTCTGCGTCAGCGACTCCTTCGCGCCTTTTATATTGAGTTGAAATGCGAGGGTCTTCACCTAATTGGACGCAATGAGCCAATATTTATTAGACATGAAATATTTAAGCATGTCATCCCGCTTTTAATAGCAGAATTATATCGGCTTGTGCTGACCCCCTGCTTTGATGAGGATCTTACATTAACGTCAGTGGAAACATGCATCTCCGGTGATGCATGGATGCTACTTGAGCACGGTGATGTGGATGCGGCCGAGCTAGTTGTTTTGTTCGAATCTTCCATGGATGAATTTCGAACGAACGGAGTTGATAAAAGCCCTTTGCTTCTGCTGCATGATATTGTGTGGAGCTCGCTCACATGCATCGCCTCATTGAGCACGGCGCTCAAGGAGTGGATTGATGGCTTCCGTTATGGAAGCTCATTCAACACTGAGAATGTCTTCGATGGTGAGATTTGCCACAAGCTGCGCAAAGACAGTGGCACAGTGCTTGTTGCCAATGCACGAAATACTCTCTTGTGGACGCTGTTGCTACTCGCCTGTTTTATGCGTTGTCAAGCGGCTGTGCTAAAGAGTGAAGAAGCTGCACAGTTGACAGCGGCCCAAACCGCAGTTGCGCGGCTTGTGCGGTTGGTGTCGCAGCTCTCACCCGTGTTGAGGCGGCCACGTCCTGCTCCTGAGTGTCTCCTGGCGCTTAAACTGCGCGAGGTGCTGGAGGGGCTGAGAGACGGAGCTGTCGGCGGAAGCAACGACTGTGTCGCTGGCGTGCTTGATGACGTGCTCCGCCGAGAGCAGCCGCATTTCTCTCGCTGGGAGGGCACGTTTGAATCGGTGGCTGCCCAAATGAGGCGTTACGTGTGAATCGCCATGCCACACCCACACACCATGCCAAATAATAATAATGATACTAATAAAACAGATACATTTTTTATGCTGCTTTTTATCTAATTTTGATTTTCTTCACACATTTCTCGTTGTGCCTTGAGTTTGCTTTGCGTGAGGGTCTGGGGGACGTTGTTTAGCCTTTTCCAGTCAGTTCCGTCCCTTTTTGCTTACTACTGGAATGCGTCTCACTCCTCGTGTGCGTGTCTCTGTTCCATCTGCGTCTGACGGCTTGCATGGATTCTGCTTCTGCCATTGTCACTTTTCTCGTTGGTTTTTCTTTGCGCGTTTCACATTGCAGTCACAGGGACCCCTCCGCGTGTTAGCATGGAGTCCTCGGCGACGACGGGCGCGAAGCGGCTATCGAGGGTTGACGAGATCCGCCTTATGGAAGCACTCTTCCCATATGCATCCTCCCAGTCTCTTTCCGAGGCCGTTAGGGCAACAAATGGTGTCGAGGAGGCGATTTTTCACTTGAACGCCACTGCAAATCCCGACCTTGACAGCGCGTCCTACCTGCTAAAAATGAAACGAAAGACCGCGATTTCAGCGGAAGTGACGAGTCCAACAACAGCGGCAAAAGCAGCACCGCCACCCAATTCAGCCGCCATCGTTGTTGACGGTGATGGCAATGCGATGAGCCCCTCCCTGCAAGACACATTTGCCGCTCTGCAGTCTCACCTCTTTTCAAGACTGGCCCTCTTTGACGAGAAGACGGGCACGTTGGAGGTCAATCAGCAAAACGAGTACAACGCCACGGTCGCGGTGTTCCCAATCGACACCGCCGCATGGGATGATCATTTTATCACATCTGCCACCCTGACAGATGTGATGGGCGCCCATCCCCTCGTCTTGCCCACGTCGGCGGAGGCGGCATTTTCACAGACCGAGCTTGGCGAGGGCTGGGATGGAATTCAGGCGCCCATTGTCCGCTGGGCCCCAACCGCCGCCGCCCTAAAAAAGGAGCGGAATGAAAATAGGGCGACCCTCTCGGAAAAGGAAATTTCTTCGCTAGTGTGTATCTTGCAGTCTGAAGGGGAGGAGGGCGGCGCCATTGCACGAGAAAGGAATGGGATGGGCACCAAAAATGGGACATTGATTGTGGATCCTGCGGAGAGTCCTACTGCAAGCGTTGGCCGCATCCTGCCAACTCCGCTGCAGTACCGCGTCCGGGAGGAGTGTGAGCTGCGGGTAATTCTGGACGAGCTTGAAGCGCGGGGGGGCGAGGCATTCCACAAGATGGGGGGGACCAACCTTTGCAAGGAGATCGTGAAGCACTGCAAAACGCTTACAGGTATACTCCCTGAGTATTTTCCAAAGCTGCTCCGCGTGATTGGAAAAGAACTAGAGGGTGAAGAGCTGCTACCCGCCCTCCAAAACGTTCGTTTGAAGGCCTTTGGGGAGGCGGTTCTTAATACCGGGGCGGTGCGAGTTAGAGAGATTGCGTTTGGGCGTTCGTACGCCCGCTTTAGCGAGAATGGTGAGCACCTACTGTGGCGTGTGAAGTTGAAATACCTGGCGCTGGACCCGGCTTCGTTTACACTCACGAAGGCGGAAGGCCGCGGCGACGTCAAGAGAGGAACCGTGAGCGCGAAAATCAAGGACCTCAAAGTAAAGGCAAAGTTAACACTGCGGTTGCTTTCGACGGGTCGTTTGAACGCCACCTGCTGCGACCCGCACGTCTCCATTGGTTCGTTGCACACTAAGTGTTCGGTGTGCAGTCTGAACGCACTGGGCTTCTTCTTGAGACCGTTCCTCAAGCAAAAACTTTGCCTGTACTTGATTGAGATGTTGCGCGAGGGCATAGCGCTGAATCCTGGGTAGCGTTTTGCCCCGCTTCCCCTTCCCCTTCTCCTCCTCTTCCTCTCTTTTTTTTTTCTCCTGATCTCTATGCTTAACTTAACTGCATGCATAGCTGTTGGGGCTTCCCCTGTCGGATGGAGCTTGTCCAGTGGAATTGCCGCGTTTCACTTTTACTTATGTTAGTTTTCCTTTCCCGCCTCGCTTGTTAGCATTTTTCTCACTTTATCTTGCCATTGCGGCGAGGGAGCTGTGCACCTATGCCAATGCCTCTTTCTGGGCGTGCTTCGCAAGCATCCTTGGCTTTCTTCTTGCCTTTCTCCCTTTACTTTGCTGTGTTGCTGTGTGTATGCCTGGTCCCGCGTCGTTGCAGACTGCGGTTGCAAATACATTCACGCATCCACATAGAAAAGAAACGTAACTAACTAAATACATCAAAAAAGGGGAAGCTTCTTCTACACGAGGTTTACCACCCTGCGCCCGCAAGAGGGAGAGAGAAAACGGCAACAGAGTTGCACCGATGCCCGCGGCCTGGTTCCTGAGTTCACAACAGGGCAACATTGCGTTGCCAAACCGCTGCTCCCCAGATGCCCCCGTGTCGGTGGATCTGCTCGAGGCGTGTGGCGTCTACACTCGCGCGGTGGATCCCGCGACGCTGCATCAGCGACACCCAACAGACGACGAGGGGCGGACCTACGCGCAGCGCCTTGCCTGGAACTTGGGCTACCAGGGGCAGGAGGTGGTGACGCTGAGTGCGGACGCCCAGGACGAGCTCCGCGAGCACCTCAACCTGGACGAGCAAATGCGCGTCGTGGAAAGCGGGGTCCTGTACTTCGATGTGCGTGACGCGGAGGACCGCTGGATGCGTGTTGAAGCCAAGCCGGGCGACCTGCTCGTTATTCCGCGCGGCATCTACCACCGCCTTGTTCCTGCCGCAGACTCTTCCCCGGTGAGGCTGCTGCGCCTGCTGCGGAAGTCCACCGTGTTTCAACCAATTCCTCGTGAGGGCGAGCTCAACGCCGAAAGAGCCGCGGAGGCACGCGCGGCGCACGAAGACCACACCTTCTACGTGTCACACCCGCCGAATGAGACTGTTTTGGGCCCCGCAAACGGCGCGGACAATGTGCTGGTGACAACTCCGCGGGACTTTGACGCCACGCTGGCGAAGGCGAAGGCGGGGCTGGCGGTCGGCGACGTCCTCGTGCTCTTCTGCAAGGGCGCCCCCGACCGCAGGACACACACGTCGTGGTGTCCGCCGTGCGCGCAGGTGGAGCCGATGGTGCGGCGTGCGCTGGAGGCCGCCAAGCGCAAGCGGCGTGTCGTGTACGTTCAGTGCATCGTGGAGCGCTCCGTCTACCTTGGAAACCCGGACTACGCGTACCGACGGCATCCGTTGCTCAGGATCGCCTCCATTCCACTACTTTTGGTGCTGCAGCAGGGCGAAAAGGAGCTCACCGAGCTGCACCGCGAAAGCGACCCCAACGAGCGCTATGAGTCTTGGGTGGATAGCATTTGAGCGTGCAAGCACACGTGCGCCGAAAGAAAGGCATGCATTTTCTTTCCAAACGGGGAGGGGGCGTTTCCTTATTTTTTTTTATTTTAGTATTTTGTTCTTTTTACGTTTAGCACTAGGGGACAATATTCGAAGCTGGGTGGGCGAGCTCCGTTTGTCTTTCCGCCCCACCTGTTCTCTTTCACTTCCATCTTTGTTTGTTTGTTTCCTTTCTTTTGTCTTTCAAACGTAGCAGTTCTTGCTCAGGGCATGCGGCTGCTGGGCGGGAACTCAGCCGTATTTGTCTCGGGCCTCTTGGGCACGGCAACATACGAAAAGAAAAATAAAATAAAATAAAAATAAAGGGGAAAAAAACGCGACTGCCGCCACCGTGAGCCAACACAAAGTTGAAGGGACTAATTGCCGGCTCTGGGCTTTTCATAATGCAGGGCGCTGAACCCTGGCACCGCGGCCCACAGCTGCGCCAGGGGCAAGCTGTTTCCTTACATTACAGCAGGCGTGGGTAAAGGCTTTGTGTTAAACGAAAGATAGCACATTTTTTAAATCCTTTTCTGCTGCGTGTGTACAGACGTGTGTGTGTATCTGAGGTGGGTGAGCGTGTCGGCGGTCAGTTGATTTTCGTTCTTCTGCTTCAGCTGGATGAACAGCTCTGACAGTGAGGCCTCATGCTCTATTACTCCAAGCTTTTTTTTTGTCTACTACTATTTTTGTTTTTGGCGCAGGGCGTTGTGTGGCGACTGTGCACACGTTTCGTCGGCGCCCTTGTTTGCGTCGTCGGTCTGTTGCCGCGTGTCTCGGCGCCTTGACAGGAGTGTGGGGCTCTCCCCGTGCATGCACGCATGCTCTGCGGCCAACCGTGCTTCTCTCTACATCTCTCTCGCTTTGCCTCACTGCACGCACCGGGGCGCCGCCAGGAGGGGGGACGATGGGGGTTCATGGCCTCTGGCACTACCTCAGCGACCACGGCCTCTGCTCAGCCCCTTCCGGTGGGCAGGGCGACGCCCCCATCCTCGCGGCGGACCACTTGCTCTTCGACATGAACGCCGTCGTGCACAGCGTCATACGGGGATCGGCCTTCACGTCGCGGAAAACCATCGGGGAGGTGGCGGCTGCCGTGCGGCGCCTCATGCAGCGGTTTCCACCGCGCAAGACGCTTGTGCTCGTCTTCGACGGTGCCGCGCCAGTGGCGAAGCTGAAGGTGCAAAAAGAGCGGCGCGCCTCCATGCCTAGCCCGCAGAGGCCGTTGGAGCCTCCTCCCGCGGCGACCTCCGCAAGATACAACTACGACTACGAAGGGACGGAGGTACCGCTCGTGCGGGAGGAGGTTGTCGCAGGCTCGGAGTTTCTGCTGGCGTGCGAAGACGCCCTGAGGAAGTCGCTGGTGCCGGGTGACGGCGGGCGTGTGCCGGCGGGAGTTCCAGCTGGGTGTGCGGTCGTGGTCAGTGGCTGCGAGGACGCAGGCGAGGGCGAGCTAAAGATATCCTCCATCCTCCGTGCGCTGTGGCTGGAGCAGCGGCGCAAGGAGGCGTACACGGGCGATGACGTGATCGTCGTCGTCGGCAATGACTCGGACCTGGCGTTGGTGGGCATCGCCTGCACGCCGTACTCGCACTACTACATGGTAGACCCCGCGGACTGCACCATCACCGCGATTGCCGAGCTTTATGCGCATTGGAGAAAAGGCGCCGCAAACGGGCTTCTGCCGCTGGAGCTGCTACCATCCTACCGCATAGACTTTGTGTTTCTCAAGCTGCTCAGCGGTGGTGACTGGTACGAAGGCATTGCTGGGGGCAGCAAACATCTCTGGCGCCGGTACCGCGAGCTGCGTGGCAACGGTGGCTACTTTAGAAGATCGCTCATACGTGGCGAAGACTTTACGGTGGATGTTGAGTTTCTCCGCGCCGTGATGAATGTGAAGGCTTCCCCGCATCACGCGCTGCGTCAGTCAAAGATCAAGCAGGCCACGCAGCGAGGAGGCGCATGCCTCTCCCAAGGCGCCGTGGAGAACGGCGTGGAGCTGTTGAAAGGGGCCATGTGGGCCCTGAAGTCGATCCTGCTTGGCCAGTGCTTCGACTACGACTTCCGCGTGTTCACGAAGGCCCCCACGCTGGGGATGCTGAGGGCAGCCAGCGGCGTAAAGAGGGTGGCTGAGCGTATCCGCCCCAGCTCCACCGCCCCGCTGCCCCTCTTCTCGCCCCTGGAGCAGTGCCTGGCGGTGATGGGGAACCGCGGCCGGTACTCGGCGGAGCTGCTGCGGGCGCTGGCCACCGCGTGCCCGGACGGCGGGGAGCGGCTGACGCGGTCGCAGTCCGTGTCGTACCTGAAGTCCGAGGTCCGGCGACTGATGGGCGCCGTGGATCGCGACAAACTCACCGCGGGTGAGCGCGGGTTGCTGCAGCTGCGGCATGCCGACTTTTTGAACGGGGGCTGCGTTCTGCAGGGGACGGTGACGTGCATGAGCCACACGTACGGCCCCGCCTCGTGCAGCTGACGTGGCCCGTTTGCTCCCAGTTCCTTTCCGCCGCCTGCTTGACTGCGCTGCCACACCGCCGTCGACGTGGAATGGGAGGAGGGTGGGTGGGTGGGTGGGGGGAAAGCCGCGTCACCGTTTAACGCGCGCCGCTGCGGTTAAAAAAGAAGAAGCAGAGAGAGAGAGAGAGAGAGAAGGCAAAGTAAACGAAATGAGGAGGAGGGAGGGGAGGGGACAAATAACGAAGAAGAAAACTGCTGCGTGACCACGCATACACACACGCGCACGCCTTCCTGCTGTTGTGCGTGC